AAATGAGAGAAAGAAAATAAAGCTCTCTGATTTTGGTGCATAGTAAGTATTCAGTGAAATGATCATATGATGATGATGTATTCTTGAAAAATTTGGTTGCAGAATAATTCTCATTTTTTAAAAAGTAAGATACGTATACATGTACACAGAAGTTCTGAAAGGGTACATACATACCAAGGTGTCAGTAGTAGTTACCTCTGAGGAGGAATGGAAAGCAAAGTAAAGGAAGAATGTCACTTTTTACTTTGTGCATATCTGGGTATTTGTTGTGGTGATGGTGGACAATTTTGTTGTTTTTGCACTTTTTTTCAACTAACATGCTTTTGTAATTTTTAACAGCCATTAATTGTTCCTTAATCAGTTTTGGGCCTATTTTGTCTCTTTGTAAACTTTGAACAACCAGAGTTTTTTTGCTTTTTGCTTAAAAGAATGTTTTTGATTCAATGGAGATAGACCACACTGATTTCTTAAAAAAAAAACTTCTGCGTCCTAGGTTACAATGAAATGTAAGAAAGAACGAGAAAACTGGCTTAGAGCATAGGGTGGTTGTGTGGTAAGTCTGGTGATAAATTGCCTATGTTTGGTGGTAATCAGAACTTTAGTTACTAGATGTATGCACCACATGCTACAGTAATAGATATTAGGTAGATCCCTTGCTCGTTATTAAAGGAAAGGAACTAATGTTTTCAGAGAACTTATCATGTGCCAGATATTTTATGCATGCTATCTCCTTCAATCCTTCAGATAAATATTATTTTCATTTCAAAGAGGAAGAAACAAAGAGGCTAAGTAAATTAATTGGGACCAAAACCCATGGTCGTAAAATAAAAATAGTTTGTCATAGTTTGCCATTTGGTATGCTGAGAAATTGGTGGCAGCACTGTCACCTAATAGTAGATAACCAGATTGATAATCTGATCCATCAAATTACAGATCTTCTAGATAAGTCTTGAATTCGGGAGGGCAAAGAGGGCAGGGTTTATAAACCTAGTTATCAGAGAATATAAAAGAGTACAGTTGAAGAATGAGCTATGTAAACCAGGATCTCTGAGTTGCTAATCCTATACAACCTCATTTTTTTAAAACTGAAAATTGAAGTTGATGTTTAGTTTACCAAAGTTTCAAGACGGTTTGTGTCTAAAGTGTGATGTATGGGGCCGATTAATATTTAATTATCTTCTTTCATGAACTGTGGAACTCCCTATCGAGAGCATTTGTGGTAGCCAAGCAAATCCTTCAGTAAAGCTTTCATTCTCTTTGTTAATCTTGGAACCATTTGAAAGGTTTTTAAATTGAGACTTTCTTTTTTTTAAAATCCATTTAACATTTATTGAATTCCTATTCTTTTTATATTTGAAGGAAAACAATGGTATTTTTCAGAATATTGAGGTTAGTTCTTGAGGATGAGAAGAGATAATGTTTGACCTGTTACAGATGACTTAAGGACACTTGAACTTGTTTCCCCATCTAGAAGTAAGTGCTTTGGAAAATATGAAAAATGAGAATTTTCACTGTCAGCAATAGGAAAAAAATTCAATTTCTTGAATTCTGTTTTAATATTTATGAAACTCAGGAAAACTTGAGCAGCTATATGTCCAAAATTATAGAGAATATGCTGCCTTAGTTTTGAAGATGGATTGAAATTTTGCCTGGATAAAGGGACATCTCTTAAGATAAGCTTTTTGCTTTATATTTATCATAGTCGAGAGTATGTATGGACAACCACTTTTAATAAATTTAAGATGTGTAGTATATTTGATCACTTGTTTTAAGTTTTCCTTTTGAACACTAAGAAAGAATACAAAGTACATTATGGCACAAGTACCTAAGTACCTGTTTACCTCTTTAGATGCTGGTAGACCACTTGTTTTGCTAGTCTTTGGAATTGGAAGGAGTGTCAAATACACAGAAGCCAGAGTCATCTTGGCCAGATGGTGTTTGATACAGATGGATGGTTAGTTGTCATGCAGATCTCCTAGTTGGTAACTTGTTGCTGCCATCTGACTCAAAGAATCATTCACACACACTGGCTGTCAAAAGCATCTTCTCTTCTGTCTGTTTTAGCTGTCATGTCTGTGCTCTGTACAGAAGTGTTGACAAGACATTGCTGTTGTACATTTTCAATGTGGTTGTTAGTGATTTTTCTGTTTTGTGGGGTCTTTGATAGTGCTGGAATGTACTTGCTTTGTAATTGTACTGTTTTTTAAAAAATACTGTGACAGTACAACAATTATCTGACCTTTTAAAATGACTTTTCAGGCTTTAAGTTTATTCAGATCTGTTCAGTGAACAAAAGCATTTAATAAAAAGAAAAAAAAAAACTTTGTTAGTTTCCAAACATAGCAAATAAGCCAAATTTTGGTTATTTCCCAATTTGATAGAATATCCTCTTTTGGACTTTTCCTTCTCATAGCCTTGTGGTCAAAATCTTCATTCTGTTTTCTGAGTATGTATTTTTTTCTCCTCAAATTAGTACCCTTTTTTCTGACAGTATAACTTCCCTTTTTTTCCAAAAAATGTATCTTCAGACATGTCTATATTTTGCATCCATTTTCTCAAACTTAATTTCCTTTTGTCTTATTCACCTACTCACCTTGTCTCCATTTTTCCTGTTTCCCTTATAGAAATATAACCAAAACCTTTTCTCCATTCCTTCAGATCACTTCTTTAACGACTTAATTAATTTATATTAATATTAACTGAGCATCTCAATGTGTGCCAGACACTCTGTTATACCCTGGAGGTGACAGAAGAAAATAGTCTCTGCCCCTGAGGAGGTCATAATCTAAAGGGAAATCAGACATACATACAGTTAGACTAGAATACTATGATTTCTATAATGTAAATAAGTGGAAAGAGCAGAAAGAGAACATGAACCATTGCTATTCTGTTTCTCCTGCTATTCTTCCAGAGTCTGTTTTTAAATTATTACAGAATTTTCTTGAGTTTATAAAGTAATTTAAGTGGTTTAACAAATAATTCAAAACTTCAGCTTGAAATAGTTGTTGATCTATTGATTTTTCCCAGCTAATGAATACATCTTCAGCATTATTTATTTATTATGATATGTGCTAAAGTATGTTTTTGAGCCATAGCCTAGAAGATGAAAATTACCTGGCAGAGGCTTTCTGAGTTGGTTCCAAAAGAAAATACAGGTCATTTGGGTTTTCATTAAGGTGGGAAAAAAATATATAGTAGATGGAGAATGGGCTGAGGCTTGAATAACTTACACATTTATTCTGGGCCGATCTCTAACTTGCTAAGTTTTTTGTACTGGTTGCTTAATGTGTGGATAGTAGAATGTGTATACCTATCAAAATACAGTGAAAGAATGGGCAATTATTGCCAGCGTTCATGAAGAGCTTTGAGTTCTTTGGAGAAAGTTCCAAGTACACAGAAGTAGGTAGAGAAGACTGCAGCCTCACCTTGTTTGCTGATTCCTCAGCCCTGGGGGCTCTGTGTAGCCCAGGTAAATTTAAGTTATTACAGAATTTACTGTAGACGTTTGAATCCTTCTTTCAGTCAGCCTACCCACTCTTTCTAGGGGCTTGAATGTAAACTTGCATAGGAATAAGATGTCTTATCTTGGAAAGCCTGACCCTAAACTGGATTTTGGTATTTAAGCTTCAGTACTGATACTCAGAGTCATAGGACATATAGTCCAGACAGACTCACAAGATTCATTCTTCTATTCAGAATAATAAAACTTACTTGGATTTTTTTAACTTGAATTCTTTATTTCATTTATTTATTTTTAATAAGCATGTACTGAATACCTCCTATATATAAGTTACTTTGCAGAGTTATGGGAGTATCAAGTTATATAGGACTACCCTCAGGCAACATGCAAAGGTGACACACCATTTTTGTGTTACTCCTCAGTTCTGTCAGTTATTCATGTTTGAAGTGTATTATAAAATTTCACCTTTTATTTGAGAAAATGATATTTTGCTGTGATTTCTTCAGGTAATTTGGGAATCTGGGAACAGCTGTGTAATTTATAAACAACTTGAGGCTTATTGGTCTCTGAAAATAATAGGGCTTCACTAATTTTGAACTTTGATTAAGAATCAATTCAAAATCAAATATTTAGTATCTACTGAAGGACATTCCAAAATTATTAAGACCCTATTTCATATTTCAAGGAATTTAGAATTTAGTCGTTTATTTATTTGTTCCTCTAGTAATAGAAATTTGTAAAGAATTCTCTATTAGATTTTGCTAATATTTTTGACTTTGTACTAACTTGGTAATTGTAATGCGGCGTTTTCAAATTTGCATGAAGGTTTGCAATATCTCTATTCTCTAATGCAAACTTGTGTCTTCTTTCATTGCTTAATTCTTAGAGCCATTGCAATAAAAATAGCAAGATGAATGGATTAAAAATATAAGGGAAATTGTGGTGTTTAAGATCTCTACTAAAGATTAACCAGGTGTTCTCTTGACTTCTTAAAAGTTAATCTTAGATGTTTATGACCAATATAATTTTATAATTTGTACTTGTCCCTTTGATTTTCATAGTGTCTTACTTATAGCTACTTCCTTTGTATTTTTGCACTCTAAAAATAAATTCAAAAGTGAGTTTATTTAAAAGACATGAAATCTTACCTTTTTTAAAGTTAGTGGGTATTTTTATAGAATAACTTTAGTATGGCGTCCATTTTTTCATTCATGCTTTTTTTATCATTAAAGATTAAATTCTAAATTACAATTTTTATCCTAACTGATGGACCAAGAAACCATACATTGAACTGTTAACTGAAATTTCTTTAATTAAGGTGATTTTTAAAAATTTTACAGTATTTTAAGTGTTCTAAATCACTGATATTTGTAATGATTATAAATACATTGCTGGAGCCGATTTTTAGCTCATAGCTAAATGCTCAATACCAAGGAAATGGCAATATGGACAACTCATTTATATATAATTATTAATGGACATTAAATAAATGTATATACATGTCTGTCAGTAAATATCAGGCTAACTGGTTTTATGTCAGCAGACTGAGAACTATGAGCAGAGAATACGTGAGCAACAGGAACAGCTGTCACTTCAACAAACTATTATTGACAAGCTAAAATTACAGTTACTTCTTGTGAATTCCAGTCGAGGTATGTTCATGTTAATTTTTTATATATTTCTTGAATCTCTTGGAGAAAAGAAAGGTGGACGTCACGTCTTTCTATTTTATTTCTCTGTTGTTTCTCCATAGTTCTGTTATTTTAATAACGATGGGATGGTATTTAAGAAATGAACTCTTGCAGAATATGGGAAAATGAGACATTCACATATACTATATGGTGGATCTCTAAGTTGATAAAACTTCCTTGAAGACAATTTGCCAATAAATAGCAAAAGCTTTTAAAATGTCTGTGCCTTTTAAACTAAAAATTGAAGTCCTAAGAATATACCATAAGAAAATATCTGTTCAAGTACTGAAAGATATATATGCAAGGATGCTCATCATGTTATAATTTCTGAAATAAAAAACGAAAGAAAGAGATATCCAACAGTTAAATTACAGTCATCCATATAATGAACAGCTATGTAGCCAAGAAAAGTGATGATAATAGATGTTAACTTTTTAACATGAGACTATTCAGGATATATATATCAAAATGAGCAAAGCAAGATATAAAAGTAAATATTTATGCGAAAAAAAAAGATTCTTGTGTGAATTTATATGTATAGGAAAAGAAAAACTCTGATAAAATATAAACCAAAATATTAACAGGAATAATTCACAGATGATAAAAATTGTGAGTAGTTTTTATTTTTTTTATTCTTTTTAGTATGTCTACATTTTCTAATTTTCCTGTGATAAGCATGGAGTGGTTATGCAAATAATAAACAAGAAATGCATACTTGGAAATGCAACTTAACATAAAAATTTAATTGCTAATACTGATAGTAAGCTGCAAAGAACATACTTCTAGTTTTCTAAATTCTACATATTTTATACACCACTGATTTTGGAAGAGTAGGGGTTTTATGTGTTTAGTGAGAATGAAAAAACAAATATGAAGTAAACATGCCAAAATCTAAAGGAGCAGATCTAAACTGTCAAAGTAACTATTATCTAAAGAATTTTTAAAACTCATAGCTTAAAATCTCTGCTCTTTAAATTTAGGCATTTGGGTTTGTATTCTTTTTGCTTTTTCAGGGGGTACCAAAAACAAGGGTTTCCTACTTATGTCCAAAAGGTTTTTGTCTTACAGATAACAGTTATGGTTATGTTCCCCTGCTTGAAGACAGTGAAGCAAGGAAGAATAATTTGACTCTTGATGCGCCACTTGATAAAGTAAAATCAGGAATACCAAGAGAAAAAGAATCAAAGGTAGACTGTGCGGATGGTTTATTCCCGAAAGGAAATGAGAAATCAGGTTCCACAGACTTCCTGAATTATTTAGTGATTATTCTGTCACAATTTTGATGAGCAGGGGGAGGGGAGAAAGTGGACAAGATTCTTTTCAATCCTAACATTGCTTCTGCAAAAAGCAACATTGAAATGCTGAACATAACACATCTTCCTCATTTTATTTTCCTGAGGTGGATCCACTGGAATTCTAAACAGAAATTCTGTATATACAAACAAATGACTTACATATTCCTAAAGAGAAACACTATTTCCCAGTAAAATAAAGGCCTACGTTTCAATATTTCCTAGTTTTCTCTTTTCTGTATAGGCATTTAGCAAAGAAATAAAAGGTTAAACTAAGGTAGCTAGTATGACACAGATATTTCTGGATTAGAAAATAGCATTCTAGTTTTTTTCTTCAATTGCCTGTGCTTAATTCCAAAAAAAAAAATCCACCTGACCTGCTTAAGCAAAAGTCTTCATTGAAGCAATATAGAAAGGAATATTCCATATCCGCAAAAAGACATGTACAAGTGTATTCACGCTGTGTTGGTTAGAAACAACCTAAACATCCAATAGTAGAATGATACATCTTTACAATGAAACTCTTGAGAAAAACTAAACTAAATATTTGTATACTAATATGCCTAGATTTCAAAAGCAATGTTGAGTAAAACATGGAAATTACAAAGTGATAAAATGGGAATGATTTTTGTAAATTTTTTAGACAGTATGACTGTTTATACTTTTACTACTTATTTTTGTTTTTATAAAAACATGGGCAGGAAGGGTACACATCTTCTTTAGAAAGATGATCACCTCTACAGCTGGGGAGAGAAGAGACTATGATTCTGGGAAGGGAGTAAAGGGGGCATTTAAGTTGTATCTGTAACTTTTCTTTTTTTGAGGAAAATATGTGAAGTAAATATGGCAAAATGTTAACACTTGCTAAACAGAGTAGTGGATATATAGATGTATTATATTATTCTTCATGTTTCTCCGAATCACTGACATTTTATGTTTAAAAAGGAATTTTTTAACTGAGATGAGTTAGATTTTAGTGGGATGAAACAGCTTTTGAATAAAATAAGATCTCCTAACAAGTGAGGACTCAACATCCACCAAACCAATTAAGTCGAGTACTATATTTATTTCTTTCCTTCTAAATAAGGTAGGAGATTTTAGCTTTGTGTGTCAGGGTTATTCAGATATTGATCCTGTAACCAAGACTATCTTAACTTGTTTTTATTTTACTTCAATTCTGAGAGATTCAATTTTGATACTCTTCTATAAATAAAAATTTTAGAATAAGAAGTTCTCTATGATATCTCCCAATTCATTTTTTTCTTCAAAATTATTATTGTGTTTTTATTTGAATCATTCACTTCTCTTCACCCCCACTCCAATTTCTGTTTATCTAAAAATGCTGATAAACACAAGAAACCATGGCACTGGAATTCGTTCAGATTTATTTTACAAAACACAAAATTCAGAAACAATGATTCTGACTTTTGGAATATAATTTTATGATTGCGTCTATTAATGTACATAATCACTGAACTACTATAAAATGCTGACTTACAGTGCTTAGGTAAACAATATCTACAGTCCATTTTCCTGTTTCAGGGGCTTCTAAATGTCATTATTTACCATTAATTTTTAATCACAATTCTTTATTCCAGTTACATTTCTTTGACGGTAATAGAATATCTCCTGTTCAAAATATATAGGAGGTATATATTTTGGTTAGTACAAAAAAGATGATGTGAAAGGCTCTAAGATATGTTAATAATTTACTTTATTTTAAATTTGGATGATTTGTCATTATTTATGAAAGTTTTAGAGTTTATTTTTCATTCAGTAAGTGTCCAAAGAGAACTTTCAACAGAATTCTTTTTTAAATTTGTTTTAATTTTGTAAGGTGTCTTTTATCTCTAAATATATATCTGGATACCTAGGCTGAAATTAAGTGTAAGAAACAGAAATCATGTCAGAGACAGCTTATTTTCAAAGACTTAATAATGTTGCAATGCAATCAGTGGTAACTTTATTGTGGACAGATAATAAGAAGAAAAAAATATAAAGCTCCAAGTAGGAAATAAATGTAAATTCAGTGAGTTCTCTTATCTTTAATAATAGAGGAAAGATTTATGTGACAGCCACATATTTAATACTTTGAATAGCTCATCAACTCAATCTTCTTTTACTATACGTTATAATAAAAATTAGCTGTCTTGTATTTCAGCTTTCTCATCTTCCTTTATATATCTAGAGCCAAACTAAATATATAAGGGATTAAAGAGAAGAAAAAATATATTCTAAAAGAATGGATAAGTTGGACTTATTAAATATTTGAGAGCTGGCTATATATTCATTGTAAAAAATGAGGCCTAATTTAGAAAAATACTGGCCACTTAAGCAATTGAAATTAAAATCTTTTTCATTGGCATATGTAGATCTCTATTTACTGACTTAAAGTCACTTTTAGCTAATACAAGTAAAATCCTTTCCTAAGGAACTTTGAATAATTTGGATATATTAGGGCTTTTTCCAAAATGAAAAAATTCCATTTTGGTTGGTTGCAATTTTATAAAAGTATGCATCTACAAATAGGACAAAAACTAGAAGGCAGCATGCAGAAGTGGCTAGCATAATGGCATAATTGTTTTTTTTCTATTTTTAATATATTTTTATATTATTAGTCTTCTCAAAAACTAATTGATTTCTAGAAATCGTATTCCAAATCAGTTGGCCTAGGCTCTGTAATGAATTAGTAAGTTAGTAGAAATGCTTTGAACCAGTAACAGAAGGAAACTACTACTAACCACCCACAGTTCTTTCCTCCTTCTGTTTGGTGGGTGGTTTGAGGATTTGTTTTCTTTAGACTATTTATTTTGTTTAGGATTTGATTAGGATGTTTGAGAGAGTAAAGACCTGTGGACATTATGACAAATGGCAACTTTGTCTGCCATGGAAAATGAGACAAAGAGTGGAGGAAAGAGGGGTAAGAGGCCCTTTTAGAAAATTTTGTTTGAGAAACATGAAAGTTATAGTCCAGCCTCTGTTCATGGTAATCCTACACAAAGAGCTTGCAACAATCTTTTGACTTCCAAAAAGGCATAAGTCAAGACAACAGAGCCTCTATCGATGGATAACTCTTACTACTCTGCTTATAGTTTAGAGACAATAGAGAAAAGTACTCAGTTTAATGGAACTTGTACACCATAGTAGTTTGCACAGTCTTTCTTGATGAGATCTGATTTTGGCAAAGGGGTCATTCTTATAACAAAGTACCCAAAATTTGCCCCAAAACTTAACAGCTTAAAATAACAAATATTTATTATCTCGGTTTCTGTGGGTCAGAAATTTGGGAGTGATTTAGCTGGGTGGTTCTGGTTCAGAATCTCAAGTGATGAAAAGTCAAGATGTAGGCAAGGGCTTTCGTCGTTTGAAGGCTTGGCTGTGGTTGGAGGAGCCGCTTCCGAGCTGGTTCACTCACTGTTGGCGGGAGCCCTCACCACGCAGGCCTTTCTTCACAAGCTGGCAGCTAACTTCCTCGAAATAAGAAAGTAAGAGATCCAGAAGAGAGAGCAAGGAGACAGCCACAGTGCTTTCTATGACCTAGTCTCTAAAATCACATGCCTTCGCTTCCACTTTATTCTGTTCATTAGAAATAATGAACAGAGGCGAGGAAATAAGCTCCTCTTCTTGTAAGGAAGTGTCAGAGATTTTGTAGACTTATTTTTAAAGCATCAGAGCTTGTAGATTGTGATGTACAAAAGAGGATACCAAAGATCAGGGGTGTGTGTGGGGAGTAGTATTTAATTCCCATATGGTAAATATTAATGAAAGGTTAAAGGAACTTGGCAGAATATAATAATGAATTCGACTTTCTCAATCCTATCATTATTAATCTCAGAGGAAAGAAATATCATAGTTTATCATCTTAACAATTTTTAAAATTTTAATATGAATATAACTTTCCAGAGAATACCTGAGCAGTGCTTTAGAGAATCAAGAAACAGTTGTATGCTAATTGCTAATTTTTTATAACCAATTCTAAAAATTAAAAATATTTGTGTATAGGAAGTCAAATAACACAAAAACACACACACTTATTCATGACAAAGACACTTCTCGTTTGTTGAACACTGTTGTCAAACTAACATATTTCCTAATAGTTATTATTTAAATAACAAATTTTGTGTTTTAATGTAAATACAAATTGGCATTGTTTAATTCACTTTTTTTAAAAGTAGGATTGTAATATACTGGATAATTTATATGATCTTGGAAATAAGAGATTTTTATAATACTGTTTCTGGGAAGCACTTCAATTGCCAAACTAAATACTATTCTAAGTGTCAAGGGTTTGACAAAAATTGTTTGCCATCATCTTTCTGTCCCATTTTTTGTTGTTGGGAAGTTATACAAAAGTCTAGAGTGTTTTGATACAAGAAAATATGTAGAGAGCAACAGTATAGAATACATAAAAGAATTTGGTGATATTGGTAAATTTTCTTCACTCATTCATTGCGTAACTCTGAACTTCTCTGTACCTGATGCTGCCAGCCACTGGAAGAGCAAAGAGATGTTGTCCATTCCCTCTGGCTTAAAGTCTTGATTTAATAACCAAAATAGACATTATTGAATGTTGTAAAGGTTTTTCAGATTCTAGGATCCAAGATATGCAGTAAATACAGTGTGAGTTTATTTGAACTTTCAACTATTTAAATAGAGATCATGTGTTCCAAGAGCTGATTTTATGCTTCATTTCTAATTTTCTATGTATGTTTCTAATTTATTCTTTATATGTCTTTTTTTGTCTGATTTATATGCTTTAAGCTAAAGTTTAAAAATACAAACAATACAGTTGTTATTGAAGGATGCCAGTTAGACAGTTGGCAAATTTCTGATGTAGCTCTCATTGCGATTACATCAGCAGCTATGTTGTAGCAGGAGCAAGAAATATTGTAGGT